TTTTTAAAAGCTTTTTTCCCCCTTTTTTTAGTTGTTTGTAATTGAAATTAAATAATTCTTGCCAGCTAAATGTTCCTTTTACCCGTGTTACAGGCTTTATTCACGGCTTTGTACTAACTCATCCACGTAACTTACCCACCTCACCTTCTCTAAGGTTGTCTGCTTTATGAAACGCCTTTGGGTAGATGTTCTTCTGTAACTTCATAAAAATCTGGACTCATTCCAGTAAGATGTAAAGGAAAATGATCCACTGACAAGTGTATTTTCAGGAATAAATCATGAAGTGATATAGAAAAGTCAAAGAAAACAAGCACTAGAATTAAGAGAATTAAAAATATAATGCATATTATTTTATTCCAAATGCCTACTCAAACACAGTGTTTTTCACTCTCCTTTTCATTATACTCAGACAAAATCAAAACCCAAAGTCAAAATCAAAAAGCCCGGTGGCTGTGCTGGGCAGCTTTGGGCTTTAGAATTAGAATTTAGTTCCAGTTCTGACTCTGTGACTTCTGTCTCAGGTCAGACCACTGTGTCCTCATCTGACAGCAAGAATATTAAGCCTTTAAAGATTGCTAAGGAGCTCCGGTGGGTGGTGTACTGGGTAAGGCATTTGTCCGAAGGTCAGTGATTCAGACCTACCACCAGCTGCTCTGTGGGAGAAAGATGAGGCAATTTACTTCCATAAAGATTTATAAACTTAGAAACCCAGTGTGGGTCACTATGTGTCAGAATTGACTTGATGGCAGTGGGTTGGTTTGCTTTTTGGTGAGATGGATGCAGACACGGGGTGATATGTGTAAATTGAGCACAAAGTGTGTGCTAAACGTACGTTAGAGCCCTAATATCTACCCCACTCATAGGCCATACAAAACTCACTGCCTGAAATGGTTTGCGACTCATAGCCACCCCTCCTTCGGTTTCCTAGGCGTTATCTCTACAGAAATAGATTGCCCAACCTTCCTTCGAGGAGTGAACCACCTGCTTTCTGGTTAGCAGTCAAATGCCTTAGGCACTATGCCACCAAGGCTTCCCATAGGCCATAGTTTAAGCCTAAAACCAAGTGAAAGGAAAAACTCACTGTTTTAAACAGTGTAGAATCTCTGGGTAACAAAAAAGGTTAAGTGCTCAGCTACTAACCAAAAGTTATGGAGTCAAACCCACCCAGAAGTACCTTGGAAGAAAGCCCTAGCAGTCTGCTTCTGAAAGTTCACAACCTTGAAAAGTGTTATGAAGTGCTATTGACTCTGCAACACATGGGGTCCTTAGGAGTTGGAAATGACTTGAGGGCAATTTTTTTTTTTTTTTTAAATAACGTGCACAGAATTAAAAAACACAAACAAAACCCACTAATGAATAACTACTACTTTAACAGCAAATATAAAAGAGAGCTTGTTTCTGGTGAGAATAAAAGAATAATAAAAGAAACTCACAAACTCATGTTAAATCTTGTCCTGTCTTGAAAACATCAAGATAAGCCTCCATTAGCAGGCCCAAGCACAGGAAGTAGTCTCTGCAGGACCGGGCAAAATCAAGAGGACAAACTGACATTTAAAGCAACGGAGTTCACATCCTTACTAAAAACTGGGTGCAGTCAAATGTAACAATTAGCTGCTTTGTTTTCCATGCTTTATAGATGTTTGGACACTAGAGACTACTCCAGTGATCATGTGGGTGAGTATAGGAAGTAATCAAATGTACCTTTAAAGGATACACTTTCTTCTGAACCATTGTCTTTGGAAGCTGTCCAAGACTGATGAAATTGTAGAGAGGAACGAAGGCATACCTGTTTGCCAGATTCTGAAATGCAGTAATTCTTAAAGGATATCCATATACATGAGGTCATTCAACCTGGCATAACTGTGAGGAATATATTAGCACCCCATTTTACAGATGACAGGAAGATTAGACATACAGCTAATTAGTGAAAAAACAAGCTAGGACTAAAATTATTCTTTCCAAAACACTACAAATTCTTCCCATTACTTAAAGCTTGAAGGAAAAGGGAGATGGTAATGGAAAGTAGAGCTAAAACAAGTAAGATTAAGCACTGCACCAAACACTATACATAGTGCATGTAGAAATGAAAATACAAATAATTTCCAGAAAGGATTTAATACACTTAGAATGGAAGATGAATCAAAAAAACCTTAAACCACTGGTGTCAAATCAACTCCAACTCACAATGACCCCATCTGTTGCAGATTACATCTGCTGCATAGGATTTTTTTGGCTAATTTATATATATTGTTGTTGTTGTTATGTGCCGTCGAGTCAGCCCTGACTCATAGCGACCCCTCCTTGAGTTTCCGAGGCATTATCACTACGGAAGTAGGATTGCCCAACCTTCCTTCCGAGGAGTGGCTAGTGGGTTTGAACCGCCAGCCTTCTGGTTAGCAGTCAAGTGCCTTAGCCACTACGCTACCAGAGCTCCCAATTTATATATATAGATCTCTACATATATAGGCTGTTGTTTGAATAGAACAAGAAGATACTGCAAGGTTTAAAATCAGGAAGGGAGTGCATCAGGGTTGTATCCTTTCACCATACTTATTCAATCTGTATGATGAGCAAATAATCTGAGAAGCTGGATTATATGAAGAAGAACATGGCATCAGGATTGGAGGAAGACTCATTAACAGCCTGCAATATGCAGATGACAACCTTGCTTGCTGATTGTGAAGATGACTTGAAGCGCTTACTGATGAAGATTAAAGACTAAAATCTGCAGTGTGGATTACACCTCAGCATAAAGAAAACCAAAACCCTCACAACTGGACCAATAAATAGCATCATGATAAATGGAGAAAAGATTGAAGTTGTCAAAGATTTCATATTATTCGATTCCACAATTATCACCAATGGAAAGCAGCAGTTAAGAAATCAGATGATGTATCGCACTGGGCAAATCTGCTGCAAAAGACTTCTTTAAAGTGCTGAAGAGCAAAGATGTCTCCTTGAAGACTAAGGTGTGCCTAACCCAAGCTGTGGTATTATCAGGGACCTCATATGCATGTGAAAGCTGGACAATGAATAAGGAAGACCAAAGAAAGGCTGATGATTCTGAGTTGTGGTGTTGGCGAAGGATACTGAAAGTACCATGGACTGCCAGAAGAACTAACCAATCTGTCCTGGAAGAAGTGCAGCCGAAATGCTCCTTGGAAGTGAGAATGGCCAGACTTTATCTCACCTACTTTGGTTATGTTGTCAGGAGGGACCATTCCCTGGAGAAAGATATGCTTGGTAAAGTGGAGGGTCAGCAAAAAAGGGGAAGGGCTGCAACAATGGGCTCAGCAAGGATTGTGAGGCTGGCATAGGACCTGGCAGTGTTTCTTTCTATTGTATATAGGTTCGCTATGAGTTGGAGGCAACTCGGTGGCATAGTGCCTAAGGCATTTGACTGCTAACCAGAAAGCTGGTGGTTCAAACCC